TTTGGTCTTCTGGGTGATTAAGTCGAGAAGAATGAGATGGGCTGGGCATGTAGCGCGCATGGATGGGACAAGAGGTGTGCACCGGGTATTGGTTGGGAATCCTGAGGGGAAGAGACCTCTGGGGAGACCTAGACGTAGATGGGAGGATAATCTCAGGCGGGATCTATGGGAGATAGGAGTTGAAGGAGACTGGATTTTGTTGGCCCAGGACAGGGTCAGGTGGAGGGCGTTGGTTAATTCGGTGATGAACCTTTGGGTTCGGTAACCCATCACACATACACATACATATATGTCTGCTTCTCAGCATTGCCACTTCAGCTCTGGAGTTGGGAGATGGTATGGTTCTCCAAAACATTGGTGACCATCTACAATTCTACGCTTTGTCTCAACCCAGAATATCATCATCCTCATGAATCTCAAATCTTAAACAGCTGTGAAGATTACATCCGGGAGTCATGTGTTTATAATGTCATTCTTATAGAGTGTGGTGGCATCCTGAAACAGCAACAGGGCACCATCCAGACCCCCAACTACCCATTGCACTATCCAAATGATCACACATGCCGGTGGATAATTGTTGGGGCGGCTGGCACCGCGGTGCAGCTCACTTGGCATTCATTCCATCTGGAGGCGAGCAGGCGAACCTGCTGGTATGATAAGGTGCTTGTCTATGATAACAGCTCTGTGCCTGGACATGGTGGACTTATGGGAACGTGAGTATGACTAAATTTAATGCAGATTGTGTACAGAATTCTCTTTGCTTTTGAACCACAGTAGTGTGCATGTATGCTTCCTAGATATTTTGTACTCTGCAAATATAGACCCCTTTTGATCACGACAGTTTCTGACGAAACCAAACACCATAGAAGAGAGTGTTGTGCAGTACATTATTTGATGAAGAGATGGTGTATTTAGACCAATTAATATTGAATTACAGTAAAATCTCAGTGATCTAGATATTACATAATCCAGTTATTTCTAGCACAGTTGGTACCACGTGTTTTGGGGAAATTGTGAATTGGTCATATTCCTGTAAGGAAGTCAAAGTAATTCTGGAAAAATCTCTTGCTTGTAAATGGTACGATGTTAGATGTTGAAGAATTTGAGCCCAGAAATTACTAGGAGACTCTGCATTTGATTTGAGAAAGGTCAGGATAAACTTAGATTTAGGTGACATTTCAGGTTCTGTAGGATTTGAGGTTTTCACAACCGTGAGTCTGAAGATTTCTGTCTTCTGGGTTATTGTGCCATGTAGTCTGGTAGATTTCCACCAACGTTTCAGAGGTCATTGTGCCTCCGTCATCAGGGCGATGAGTATGAAGATTTCTGTCTTCTGGGTTGTTGCGCTGTGTAGTCTGGTAGATGTTTACCAACGTTTCAGAGGTCATACTGCCTCCGTCATCAGGATGATTTATCTTAACAAATTTTTTCCCCACCAGTGGATAGGATAGGCAGAGAATCTGTTGAGTATCCCCCACAATCACCAGATTTAACCTAACCTTACATCTTCTTATGGGACTGCGTACAACACAAAGCCAGGAACTCTTCAGGAACTTAGACTAGAAACTGAATGGTCTTGTGGAGTCATTTCATCAGCAACTTTGGTGCCCGTTTGTAAGTGAGTTGGTCACCAATCTGAACTGCGCCATGAATCTAATGGTGGTCACTTTGAACACATACACTAAATTTGATGATAAACTGTGTGCCAGTGTTGACATGTGTAATGATTTAGTTTATTAAAATGTCTTTATTTCATTCATTGAATTTTGGGAAATCCTTTTGTTCAACATGTATGTGGAAGGAGTGAGGAAAATTACAAACACTTCAATCACAAATACCAATTTGTGTCTAAGGGATGTCAGATGTATTATCCCTGTGGTAATATACCTGTAGGAATTTTGTAAAGCGTATATTTTATATTCTATTTGTGTATGTGTGGCCGTCAAAAACAAAAGAAGAAAACGTTAGTATTGATACATTCTGATGTTCATTAAAAATTAAATCCGTGGCATAACAGCTCCAGAGAGCCAAAGTCGACTAGCTGGCTGCTGGCCTCACGTTCACATGCCTAAGCAGAGGTGAACGATCATCCAACCAGATATAGGTTGACGTGTGGTCAGCACGACGAACCCCCAGCCATTGCTAGTTTTCATGACCGGATTACACTACTCATTGTAGCGCCCCAATTTCTTTACGATGCTGGGTTGGCACCGGTCCCATACACTGGTCGAAAGCTCATGAGAAAATTTCTTCTCCCCCGAGACTCGAACCAACGCGCATTCTGTATCACCGGTCCGAAGCATGATGCCTCAGACCATCTGATGTTCATTAGTTGTTGTAATTATGTAATAGGTTAAGAATATGAAGAGAACTGATTGTTGTGGAACTTTTTTCTATCTGTTTATGGTGTTAGCCAAATTAAATATAAATTGTATCAGTCAAAAGTTGCAGAACTCAAGAAGACAAATATAAGTACTGTAAAAGTAAAGTAAAGTTTGTCCCACTATACGCCATGTAGGCGTTTGGGGTGAGAGGAGGTATAGCGCCTCTCTTCCTTGACCTCGGCACTAGATGGGGGTGAGTGGTCAGCATCACGCCCCGGCCGGCTTTACCCCCGGGAAAGGACCCCGGTACCCATTGTAGAGGAGGCTGGGTGGGCCCCAGAGCCGGTCTGGACGCAGAGGCTAGAGGAAAATATAAGTACTGTATACAAAGTTAATGTTCAGTTCCTTCAAACTTTGTATGGTCTTATTTTGTATTGCAGCAGGTTTTTGAACTGGCATATCCTTCTTGTGTTATACACTGTGGCTGAGTGGTTACCACTCCTGCTTTGGGTCCGTGAGGTCCCAGTTCAAATCTCAGCTTGAGAACCAGCTATTCTGATTGGCATTTTGCATATCGTTCCTCAGTTTCTCTGAGCAAATGTTGGGATATTGCCTTAAATTTTACTGTGACTGCTACCATTTCTTTCCATTTCTTTATCATCCTATAAGTTGACATTGTAGATTCTTAGCTACTCACTGGGATACTGGGAATGACCCGTTCTTCAAGTGCCTGAGCACTGCAGGTCCCAACTTTGCGTTGGCTTGATCTGTAGACATTCGGTAGGACTCCTTGGACGAGAGATCGGCCCGTCGCAAGGCTTCTACCTGTACACAGGACAGCACAACACAGAAAAACGCGGACAAACATCCATGGCTTGAGTGGGATTCAAACCCACGGTCCCAGTGACCAAGCGGCACAAGGCCCACGCCTCAGACCGTGCGGCCACTGTAGACCCCTCTTAGCTACTCAAGTGTTGTTAAATGAACCACAAAGAAAATAAGCATAAGGTTGAGGATTATTTTTCATGTTTTATAGATTGATTAATTGGTATTGGTATCGAATAGTTTATACCAGGGCTGTGGAGTCGGAAGCAATTTTAGGTGGAGTCGGAGTCCGTAAAAATGTATTGACTCTTACTCCAATATAAAATCTTAAGTAAATACTATTTTAACACTTTTGCTACCATGTGAGCCACTGGTGGCCTCATGCTTAAGGAGATTCAATGACACATTGAGCCACATGGTGTCGGAATAATGCTTTGTAACTTTGGCTCCGGTACCTTAAGAATACAAACTGTCTACAAATCAACTGATTTCTACAATAACTTATATTTAAATATAGGTTATAAGTCTAAAAAGCAGCTTGATGATTCACGTGGTGGTGATGAAATCTCTTATGGTGCCATTTACCATTTTAGTAGGTGTATCCTTATTAATACATATTGAGCTTTTATGAAGGAGTCAGAGCTGGATTTGGAGATTTTAGTACCGACTCCACAGCCCTGATTTATGCAGCATATAAGAAGGGATATTAAGGCATGTCACAAAGTACTCGGCTTCAGGGTAGTCTGATAAATTTCATTAAGTTTTAAATAAGCTTTACAGAATGTCATTTCATGTGCCTGAATATTACAGGTTCTGTGGTAACAGCATACCCCCTGTATTGACCACTACAGGCAATGTAATGTCAGTAGTCTTCAAAAGTGACTACAGTGCCTCCAGGAAGGGTTTCTCAGCAGCGTACACCATTATGGACTCTTCAACGAGTGAGTGTAATGTTAAAACTTTGCGTACCATGTAGTGTATTTGAATATAAAATAAGCAAACAAACAAACTATTAAAACTATAAAGAAGACACTAGTGCCGTTACGCGTTTCAACCTCAAGAGGTCATCATCAGTGGCATCTGGGAAATTAATTCATTTAATCAAAATGGTTTAAAATTGGTTTAAAGAATGGTTTAAAAAGAAATCATGAAGTAGAGTATTTTACAAAACCATAACAAACAACACTACACTACATGTTGGTTTCACAGGAGCTGTACTCTGCAATGGATTCTTTGTTTCTTAGTCTTGCTTCAAGTTTTATATATTTTTGATCTTTAACTTATTTTGCATGATGGTGTTCCAACACATTTCAGTATGGCTGTAAGGGAGTGGTTAGGCAGGCATTGTTCCAGATGTTGGATTGGTTGTGGTCCTGAGGTTCCCGTGCCATGGCCACTGTAGGTTTTAGACCTTAAGACCGTAATCTTTTACTTAAGGGGTTCCACGGAAAATAGAGTTTATGCCAACATTGCCTCCAGAGAGCAAGTTCGGCAGTGACTTTAAAGTTCAGCAAATATGATCCAGCTGACACATGTTAATGCCCGTGGAGAACAATCTAGCATTTGTAGTAACGTATGACAAGTAAATACTCCCTCAGTCAATTATTTTATGGTTCAGGGATCTTGGAACATTTTACCTTGAAATTTTATCTTCTGTTACATTTCACAGAAACACTGCTGGAACTTTGTTCATTGGAACTTTTGACTCATACTGATGTCATGAAGCTCCCCTATTATTTATGGCAAACAATTTAGAAACACACTGTACATGCTGATAGATTCATGTACTCTAGCCCATCTGTAGTTCTTCTTCTGAAACCATGTGTTCAATATTATCCACTCATTTCTAGTAGATTTTCTCTTTCAATGTTTCTTACTTATTCACCATCAGTTCCCACCACATTTTCATGTCTTCCTCTAATTGAGCTTTAAAATTCCCCATTGTAATGAAATAGCTATCTAACTAACTACACGCAAACAACCCATAAGACAGCTATCTACATACCGGGTCTACAATTTATGCTGTAACGGCCTTGCTTGCATTGCGTGCTCGGCCGAGTGCACTGTTGGTGTGGGATAGAGATAGCGTGTTATTCCCGTGAGTCACAGGCGAATCAGTTTCATTGCGTCTCTCGTCGCGGATTGACGTTGATAATATGGTGTACAGTATTAAGCAACGTGTGTTCTTAGTCGAAACATATGCCAAATATTCATCCTACGGAAGATGCCGCCGTAAATATCGCAGACATTTTCCCGGTGAAAGTGTTCCTAGCAGGCCCACGATAGAGAGATTAATAAAAAAAATTTGTAGTACGGGATCAGTTTTGGATAAAAAGAAGAACAGGAAACCACAATTCATTTCGGCAATTTCCCAAGAAGAGCTTCGTCAAGTATTTCGAAACATGTTAACGAGATGTGAAGCTTGCCTGCAAGCACAAGGAAGTCACTTTGAACATCTTTTGTGATTTAAGGTAAGAAAAATTAATGTAATAACATGTGTTAGTGACGAGAAATATTCGTAGTTTGCTGTTACTAGCGGCACTGAAACTGATTCGCCTGTGACTCACGGGAAGAACACGCTATCTTTATCCCACACCAACAGTGCACTCGGCCGAGCACGCAATGTAAGCAAGGCCGTTACAGCATAAATTGTAGACCCGGTATTAGCTGCCACGCGAACACCAGATCTCGCCGTCCAGTTCTTTTAAAAGCTTTTCTTTGTCTGTGAAGTGAACTTTAGATGCATATACTTTGTTAAGTTACTCAGCATTGCTTTATAAGTTGCAGAAATTAATTTGTGTGACTGGGGAGGAAGTAGGCATATGCTATTATAATTACGTACCGTCACAACAGACTCCTGGAGGGGCATAGGGAAACCGTTAAGAACATCAGCTAGAGTAATTATTGTCTAGTCGAGATTCAAACCAGGTATCATCTAAGTAAAAGACATGTATTTCCACATGAATTAACATGCTGAGTAGAAAATATTGTAATAGTTATCATAAATTGCTTGAAATACATATTTATTAATGTCACTATTATAAATAATTATGTTCTTGATGATAGTCCTTTACAGTTATGGATTACATTCAGCCTCTTATCTATTTTGAGAATGTTACTAGACACTTTTCCTTCGAAGTCAATCACACATACATATTAAACTCGTTATTGAGCCATCACTCCAATTCAGTGGTCAGTCACCTTATAACGCAGCTGTCCACAAGGAGCATGCTTGCTGTTTGTGGGGAGAAAGATGCAGAGATTGGCTTGAGGTTACACAAGGGGATCCTGGATTTTTCTGTTTCATTCAAATGATTCTGTGAAATTCACAACTTTTTGAGAAGGTGCGTACCCTGTAACGTACTGACAAACAATCCAATAATAATGAAATTACTACAGAAGTGATTTCGTTAATCTTTATCATACAGGAGTAAGGAATTATGGGGCTGCTGACTGGATTTTAACTCTGTTGAGTTTAATAGTAGTGGTAAGCTTCTGTAACACATGTCAAGCTGAACCATGTGCATCATGTGATGCACAGCTGGTAAAGGTTAATTGCCTGTATGAGCATGTCTGAAAAAAGAGAATCTATGACTGCAACAAATAGCAAATAATTTGAAAACGTAGCTTGTCTAATAGTTGGGAACAATGGAAGCAAATAAACAAGAAATTAATCGTAAACTTGAGACAAGAATAAACAGGAAACCATTATGCAAATAATATTTATTCTATTTTCCTTATTTAGATAAATATTGGTTATTCAACATTAGTCTTACGCATGTTTATACATAGATGTAAAGTTGGTATTACAGTGACAGAATAACAAAGACTGACTGTTTGGAAAGAGAGTAAAAAAAAACATGTGGAAAATGATAAAATTGTATCAAAGATAATATAGTATTTTAAACTGAGTTACACAGTACATATTCTCAGTGGTGGGGTAGACCATTGGCTTATACCAGCACTAACAGCTTCTGACAGAATAAATTATCAACATTTGTTGCCAATAGAACTGCAACTAACTAATTAACTAACTAGATGAAGGTTCATCACCGAACTAACAAAAGCCCTCCACCGGACCCTGTCCTGGGCCAACAAAATCCAGTCTCCTTCAACTCCTATCTCCCATAGATCCCGCCTGAGATTATCCTCCCATCTACGTCTAGGTCTCCCCAGAGGTCTCTTCCCCTCAGGCTTCCCACATAGTGGACCCAATCAACTAGATGGCTTAGGGAACCCGAAGGTTCATCACCGAATTAACCCAAAGCCCTCCACCGGACCCTGTCCTGGGCCAACAAAATCCAGTCTCCTTCAACTCCTATCTCCCATAGATCCCGCCTGAGATTATCCTCCCATCTACGTCTAGGTCTCCGCAGCGGTCTTTTCCCCTCAGGCTTCCTAACCATTACCTGGTGCACACCTCTTGCCCCATCCATGCGCGCTACATGTCCTGCCCATCTCATTCTTCTCGACTTAATCACCCTGACAGTATTGGGAGAGGAGTAGCATTTTTTAAGAGAACTACAAGTAACAGAAACATTAATTCTCCTGACAGAAAAATATACTTCCTTCTATCCATTGTATGAACAGTATGCTGAAATTGGGTAAAGATAATGCCATTGTTTTTCAGTGTGTGGTGGTACGTACTTCACCACCATGGGTTCACTGCAGTCTCCTAACTATCCCAGTTATTACCCCAACAGAAAAGACTGCACATGGATTATATCTGCTCCTGCTGGACAGCAGATCAAGCTGAATGTTACTGATTTCAGCCTTAAGAAAAGTAATCGCTGCCAGTATGACTACCTTGAAATTAGGTATGTGTTGCCAACTGTATCTTTTAAATTTAATTTTAAATCTCTAGAAGTGGTATTTGTGCAAAGTGTTCTGTAGAAACTTTATTGCAGTAGATAGAATGTTCTGGTTTGTTGCGCCGTGTAGTCTGGTATATGTCCACCATCGTTTCAGAGGTCATGCTGCCTCCATCACCAGGGCGTCATCGCTTATATATATAACCCAGAAGACAGCAATCTTCAGACTAACCGCTGTATAAACCTCAAATCCTTCTTTATGGCAGTAGTTAATTGATATAGTAAATGAGGGCTGTTCAATAAAGACTGAGAATGATTATTTTAATACATACCTTCTTTATTCTGAATCATTACAAGTGCGTTCCTTTTCAAAATAGGCTCTCATGAACTTGATGCACTTATCTCAGCATTTTTACCACTTTCCCATTGATTTATTTTTTGTAAAATAATTATTATATTTGTTGACCGTCAAATCACAATAAAATAGTAAGATAAGATAATTAAAATGATTAAAATATCATCTTATGTTCCATATCGAGCATTTGATTTACATCAGAACATTCACAACATGTTTCGGTTTATCAAACCGTCATCAGGTGTAAATTATAAACTTTTAAACTCAAATTACAATTATTTATAGTTTTTACAATTTTATAATTTTATCATCTTTCTCAGTATATTTTATGGAACTTGTTCTGAGATGGTAACACTTCTGGATCTCTCCTCTGAACACATCTGAACCGATTGCTATTTCATATATGACTGGTATAAACATCAATAACACCACCTCAACAATAATGTTATATTAATAATATCTAGACACAACTTTCATAAAATATACTGAGAAAGATGATAAAATTATAAAATTGTAAAAATTATAAATAATTGTAATTTGAGTTTAAAAGTTTATAATTTACACCTGATGACGGTTTGATAAACCGAAACATGTTGTGAATGTTCCGATGTAAATCGAATGCTCGATATGGAACATAAGATGATATTTTAATCATTTTAATTATCTTATCTTACTATTTTATTGTGATTTGACGGTAAACAAATATAATAATTATTTTAATTAATATCACAATGTGACGCAACTATACTATCTCATTATTTTTTGTAGTTGTGGTGATTTGTCATGTTGAAATGTTCACACAGAAATGGAGGATCGCAGCTTGCTCCACTGATCGGCCGATATTGTGGTACTACAATTCCCACAATCATTCCATCTATGAGCAATCAGCTGTTTCTTCATTTTGTAACGGGTACTTATAGCCGATTCAAAGGCTTTCACATCACTTGGGATGCAACTGCCACTGGTATGTGAAAATTTTATTTATTTTAAACAAATAGTGTGAAATCCTCATTTTATATACAAGAGCTTCCATAATTTAGAGTAAGTTACCTTCACAGATTAGTCGTCATATCCAGTTTTTTGTGATTTTCACAGGAAATTTTATTGCAAGGAAACTTCAAGCAATTACTGATAACCTAACCTATACCAGAAATCTATGCCATATACTGACAGTAAGAAGCAGTGTCGGTAGAATGAGAACAGATAAGAGAACAACGTAGCATGTGGTAATGAAGAATTTATGTGAAAGTTTTTCCAGATGTGTTAAATGTCTGCCTCCATATCGCTGAAGAACTGAAAAATAAATTTGATCTATAATTAAGTGAATCCGTGCAGGCACTTTTAGCAGTAGTTGCCAATTTTAAATAAATGTTTACAAATGGCTGCTAATGCTGATGTTTCACATTTTGAACACGTTTGCCATTGACAGATTAAAATATTTTCCCAGTCTACTGTGCTAATTAATTCTAAAATTATTGCTATACAAGAACACATACAGTTTAAACTGAAACATCCACTTTGATTGTCCCTTATAATTTTTATTTTATTTATTAATAAGTAACATTTAATAGCACTTCAGTGCAGTCTCAGATAGCACCACTGGAAAAAGCCATTATAAGAACAACTTAACAGACGGACATGGTATAACAATATGTTGTTAGAAAAACAATATAATTGTCTGACTGTAAGTCCTGTTAAAAAAGTCATCACAAGAGAACAAAAATGTTTAGGTAACCAGTGCATCTTGGAATTTGGTTGAATTTTTTGACATTCCGACCACATAATGTAGTGTTGTTGTTGTGCAGATCATTGTCTGTGTTCACATTTTCCTCAGTTTTGCCCTTGAGCATTTCTTGATTTATCAAACTCTATGGAGCACTGATTGATAAAGTTTTCTATACTTGAAGATATGTCTGTTCGTCATTTTCTTCTGCCTCTAATGTTTTTCATCGTTCACCTTTACACATTCATGTTTGCATAGAAGGGGCATGTAACAATTTTATCTCAACGCACTGTACGTATTGCAATGTCATGTAGGTTAGGTTTGATGGCTTTGCTCTTTCAGTTTAAAATGATTTTGATTTCTGAATTCATTGAGTCACTCAAAAAAACTGCCCATTTTTTTCCACAAATCATTTTCATTAACTCTTTAGATATAAATAAATTGTTGAAATATGTGGTGTTGTGTGTCAAAGCACTCCTCACTCGTAGGATTTGAGGTTTTAACAGTGGTGAGTCTGATTGATGTCTTCTGGGTTGTTTGCCCCGTGAAGTCTGGTAGATTTCCACCAAAGTTTCAGAGGTTATACTGCCTCTGTCATCAGGGCAATGACGGGGTCAGTATGACCTTTGAAACGTTGGTGGAAATCTACCAGATTACATGGCGCAATAACCCAGAAGACATCAATCTTCACTCTTCACTCATTTACAAAACAACTTGCTTTCCTAAGAGAAGTTTTTTTGTAATTGGTGTCTTTTCTGTCGCTTTAAATACTTATGTTTAGTAAGTAAACATTTATACTAGTGCCAGATGCCAAGGCCTTCAACCCCCATTTATTTTGCTTCCCAGGACAAATATAGAGAGATTAAGACTTTTGAGTAGGTATCTAAATTAGAGATTTTAAAACAGTGGCGTGTGCTGGAAGTGGTTAAATAAGCACCTGCATTAAATGTCTTTGTTATACCTTTTCAGGAACATGTATGATTTAAGCCTTGTGGTAATTTAACTTTTTAAGCTCACAGTCTCTTTGATACTACAGTGGAACCTCGATATACCGCGGACTCGGATATACTGCTTCTGTGTATATGTTTTGCATATTTCACATACGACGCGGGTAGCTTATATAATGTGGGGTTCTGAAGCTGTCCCCCGAAACCCAGGTTATATCGAGGTTCCACTTTATTTGTATATTATAAAAATTAAAATTTATGATATAAGGTGGCCTTCAGTGACACAGATTTTACACTGAATTTCATGAAATGACTATAACTGTAACTCACATATTATTACTTACAACATTGGTTCAATGCAGGCCAATTCTTCCCACACATTTTTTCAATGGAGAATTGCGTCTAGTTAAATACTCTATGAATCACATTATGATTGCCTGACTAAAGCAGTTGTCTGTTACAGTGTTAAACCCAATAGTTCTGTAGTCGTTCATTGTCATGGAGAAACTGTGTTGTAATTTTTCAGGCTGTGGAGGATCCCTTATTGCCCCAACTGGATCATTCACCTCTCCCAACTATCCTCAGGCCTACAGCCACTTTGGGGAATGTTTCTGGAGAATTTCTGTGAACAGGGGCAGTGTGATCCAGATTGTGTTTGTTGATCTTGATTTGGACAGTAACGCTTTCTGCGTGTTAGACTACATTGAGGTGAGCGATTCTGACACATATAGTTGCGTATTTGGAACCATAATGACATAAATTTTGTAGTTTCCAGTCAATTAATGTTTTTCATGGCTAAGCTGTTTTAATTATGTCTATGAAGTGGTTAATTTTAGTATATTAAACATACATTTTCAAATTAACCTTTTGAAGCTGTAGCTTGTCTAAATAATATTTAATAATTCATTCTATACCACAAATAAAAATAACTCTCTCTATTAACTTCAAGTTTATAATGGGCACGGTATATGTTGTGCACACCAATTGGTCTCCACTGTGTTATTGATATCAGCTTGCTTATTACAGTTGTATGATGGGAGGGATGCATTGTCAAGAAAGTTGGGCAGATACTGCTCCACTGCGCCTCTGATTTTACGCTCGACCACAAATCACATGTTTATCAAGTTCCACTCAAATGCAAATAGTGCAGGAAGGGGCTTCCATATCCGTTATCAGACAGGTAAAGTGCTGATTCTTGTGATGTGTTTGACTTGTCTGCTTTAAATGATTGGATTAACTTATATAATATAATATATAATAACTGGATGAACTTTAAATGGATTAGTACTTTGGCATCATCCCTTTAATGTACACTGTGAGACTTATGAGGAAGAAGCTGTCACTGTTGGTGTAAATATATGTCTACAGATCCAAATTTAAGAAAACATAACAAGGGCCCTAGAATTAGCCCTTGGAGATCTCCATTTTTTATTGTTTCCCAGTATGAGAAACAATTCTGATTTCTTTAGGTGATTTTACATGGGCCTTTTGTTTCCGTCAGATAGGATCTGAACCATTTTGCAGCTCTTACTTTGATGTCATAAAAATGTTATATAGTTAACAGAATTTTATTATTTACGCAGTAACAAGCTTTTACTAAATCATAGAAAATTTCTACAGCATGCATTTTTTTTTTGGTTAATACATTTATCACATTTTCTGTTAGTTTGAAGGCCGTGTCTTCAGTGGATAAACCTTTCCTGATACCATATTGTTCTGGGACCAATATGTTATTAGTATACATATGATGTCTTAATCTGTAAGATTTGAGGTTTTCACAGCGGTGAGTATGAAGATTTCTGTCTTCTGGGTTGTTGCGCCGCGTAGTCTTGTCGATGCTAACCAACGTTTCAGAGGTCATACTGCCTCCGTCATCAGGGCGATGAAGATTTCTGTCTTCTGGGTTGTTGCGCTGTGTAGTCTGGTCGATGTTAACCAACGTTTCAGAGGT